TGTGTTAAAAAATCTTCCTTCCTGTCTTGTTTTTTTATTGTTCTATTGGTGTCTTTTGATGAATAAAATTTTATTAATGTTTTCTCTTATGGTTAGTGCTTTCTATATGTTAAGAAAATTTTTCCTTCTCTAATTCTAAAAACTTTATAGTTTTTTCTTTCATGACTAGGCATTTCGTTTGCCTTGAGTTGATTTTTGCTTAAAGTGTGAATAGAAATCCATTTCATTTCCTCCCCATTTGCTCTAGTACCATTTATTGAAAAAGTTCTTTTCTGTGCTCTGATATGCCATTTTTGTCTTAAATCAAGTATCTATGTAGGTGTGGGCTCTTAGGCTGGTTTTTTTTTTTTTTTAAAGATCAGGGTAGGAAGGGGAAAGAGAGGAAGAAACATCAGTGTGAGAGAAAACATCGGTTTCTTCTTGTGAGTGCCACAGCCTGGGACTTGGACCCTCACCCAGACGTGTGCTCTGATTGGAGTTGAACCCACGACAATTTTGCTTTTTGGGACGATGCTCAACCAACTGAGCCATACTGGTCAGGGCTTACCCTGTTCTTTAGATTGATCTCTTTCTGTACACGCACCATCTTAAGTAAAGTTAGCTTTATAGTAAGTCTTTATTTCGTAGAGAAGGTCCTCTCACCTCGATCATTTTCAAGAGGTTTTTAGCTAGTTTGGCTCTTTGATTACTATAGAAATTTTAGAATCACTTTGTCAAGTCTTATTTTATAAGTATGTTTGAATTTTGATTGGAATTGCATCGAACCTATAGATTTATCAGGAGAAGTTGCATAGTTATAAAATTCATCTTCAAATTTGTTAATATGGAAAAACATCCATTACATTCACATACTTCTAGTATTTGTTAGTAAAGTTTTGTAATTTCCCTACAACTTTTTGTTATGTGTATTGTTAGTTGGTGGGTTTTGTGTGTGTTATTGCAAATTACCTTTTCAAACTTTATTTTCTGACCATTTGTTGCATGTATATAGAAATACAATTGATTTTTGTATATTAGTATCATATTTAATAACCTTGGTAAACTTTGGTATGTAATTCTATTGTATGAATGTTCTTTGGATTTTTTACTTTATCAAGTGATGTCTTGTTTCTTCCTATTTCGTCCCAGTGTTGATTTCTTTTTGTTGCCTTTCTGGGTGTCTAGGATTCTACAGGGTGTTGCATAGAAGTGGTGGTGGGCATCCTGGTTTTTGTTTATGGTCAAAAGGAAAGTTGTCAGAGTTTTACCACAGAGTATATTTGTGCTACCCTTGGTCAAACAAGGAACTTCCCTTCTGTTCATAGTTGACTGAGAATATGGATTGAGATGAGCATATGCCTCCTCTATTTTAATTCTTTAGTTATTGATGTTGTAAATTGCATTTTGTATTTACAACCGAGTTTTGTTTGGGATTATCTGTATTTGTATTTATGAGTAAGATTGATTTGTTATTTTCTTTTCTCACCCTTGCCTGGTTTTGTTAGCAAGGTTACGGTAGTTTCATAAAAGATTTGGGGAAAATGCCTTCCTGTTTGTTCTCTGGATGGGTTTGTGAAAGATCGTTTCTTCCTTATAGGAAGGCACTGAAGCCATATTGCCCTGCAGTTTTCTTTGAGGAAACTATTTTTGACTACTAATTCAGTTCCTTTATTACTTATAAGATTATTCAACTTCATGTTTCTATTTGAGTAAGTTACTATCTTCTAGGAATTTGTCTACATTTAAAATTTTATTTGCTGAAACTTAATAAGCATATCCTTATTATCTTTATAATGTCTGCTGCATCGTTTGGGTCACCCTTCTTTGTTCTTGATACTGTTTATTCCCCTATATTTTTCCCTGATCAGCATCACCCGATATTGTTCTAGTATTTTCAAAAGAGCCAACTTTCACCTTTGTTCATCTTCTCTGTTGTATATTTCTAATTTCTTCTATAACTAATTTTTTCTCTGGTCTTTATTCCCTCCTACTTTTCTTTTGCTGTTATTGCTAATTCATAAGATGGATTCTTAGTTGATTTATTTTTTAACCTTTCCACTTTTCCAGCATCATTAAATATTACTTTACATATTTTTTTACTGTTTTTTCATGTAGTATTTGTTGGTATGATGATTAATTTTCCCTTTCTCTGTGAGCTTGTTATCAATTTGATATCTAATGAATTTTAGTATAACTTTTAAATTGCTGTTGCCTCAATATGAGTAAGAGGAAAATAAACATTTTTGCTTTATTGTGAACTGCTTTTTCATCATCTTTATCCCTTTCCCTGTATGGTTGTTTTTCTGTATGACCTCCTTGTTATGTGTTGGTAAATTAGCTCTTTCTCTGTGATCTGAGTAGCAAATATTTTTTTCCCAGTTTATTGTTTTTTTTGTTGACATTTTTACTGGTTATTTTCATTTTACTTTTCAGCACCTAGAACAGTGCCTGGCTTATAGTGTATATACCCAGTAAATATTTATTGAAGAAATGAGTAAATTCAGTGGTGCTTGTTTGCCAAACAAAAATGATTACTTTTATTTTTTATTTTATTTTTAAATTAGTTTTAAATATTTTATTCATTTATGTTTAGAGAGGGCAAGGGAGGGAGAAAGGGAGGGAGAGAAACATCAATATGTGGTTGCCTCTTGTGTACCACCCCCACTGGGGAACAGGCCCACAACCCAGGCATGTGCCCTGACTGGGAATCCAACTGGGACCCTTTGGTTCACAGGCCAGCACTCAATCCACTGAGCCACACCAGCCAGAGCCAAAAATAATTTTTTTTAAATGTTTATGTAGTTGAATAGTGTGTCATGGCTTCTAGATTTTGAACCATATTAGGGTGGCCTTTTTTTTTCTTTTAATTTTTATTTAGTTATTTTTCAAGTACAGTTTTTTGTCTATTTCTCCCATCCTAGCCCCCTCTGCCCCGTCTCCCCACCTCCCTCCCATCCCCGCCCCAGTCCTCATCCCTGTGTCTTTCATACTTGTTCAGGGTGGCCTTTTTAATGCTGAGGTTACATAGGAATTGTTTTCTTTTGATTTTTATTCAGGGTGGCCTTTTTAATGCTGAGGTTACATAGGAATTGTTTTCTTTTGATTTTTATTATCCTTTTTACATCTAAATATTTAATCTTTTTATAATTTACCCTATTTCACTGATTTTCAACACATTTCTCTATAAAATGTTAACAGTTTTCTAATTGTAGAAGATTACCAGTAATTAGATATTATATACTTTGAAAATAAAAAGGTTATAAAAGATGATAAGACAGACTAGTTAAAAGGCTGTGTGGTGTTGATGAGACTTAAAAAATAAAAAATTTTCTCCTGAAAAATAATTAGCAGTCATTTGAGATACTTTATTGACCTGCGGGAAGGGGTGGACTTTTGGGAAGATAACTTTTTATCATCATGAAAGTAATGATGCTTGTTTAGCATGTTTTTTGTTCCTTTCCTCATAAATTCAAATCTTATGTTGTCCACTAGTCACTTGAAATGTGATTACTCTAAGTTGAAATGTGGTAAGAATATATACCAGATTTTGAAGACTTAGTATAAAAAATGTAAAATATCCCTTTCATATTTCTTAATATTGATTATTTATTGAAATGATCACAATGAAATATTTAAAAATTAATTTTATGTTTTTATTAATATAAGAAAATATTTTTTAAGGTTTTACTTATTTATTTTTAGAGATGGGAAAGGGAGAGAGAAAGAGAGAAACATAGGAGTGTGAGAGAAACATCAGTCGGCTGCCTCTCTCATGCCCCCAACTGGGGACTTGGCCCACAGCCCAGGTGTGTGCCCTGACCAGGAATTGAACCAATGACCTTTTGGTTTGCAGGCTGGCACTCAACCCACTGAGGTAAACCAGCCAGAGCAAAAAAATTTTTGAAGATTTTATTCGTTTACTTTTAGAAAGAGGGGAAGGGAAGGAGAAAGAGAAACATCAATTGGTTGCCTCTTGCACACTCCCAACTGCGGCCCTGGCCCACTACCCTGGCATGTGCCCTGACCAGGAATTGAACTGGTGACTTTTCAGTTCGCAGGTCAACACTCAATCCACTGAGCCATACTAGTCAGGGCAAAAAGTTTTAATTTCCTATGTGGCATGCCTTCTATTCTATTCTGTTGAACAGTGCTGCTCTAACCTAATGTCACCCAGTACCTGGGCAGTGTTCCATTTTGTCTTTCTGATAAATTTGTACGGTGCCTAACCCCAAACTGCTTGGTTTCTCTTGTCAAGTAGAGATAGGAGAATACTGTCTTCTTGTCTACTGCAGTTTTCCCTTTTAGCACAGATGGGGTACGTCTCTTACATTTGTAGTTTTCTGTTGCCATCTTCCTTCTAGTTTTCAAGGTACTATTTCCTCTCACCACTTGTTTATATTAAACTCAGCCATGTGATTTTTTTCATTTTAATTGAATTATTAGTAAATGAGCTCTTTAAGTGTGTTTATTTTTGTTTCAGAATTTGAACATCTTTGTTCAAGGAATTGTTTTAAGTTCTCTAGTCATTGACGCATTCATTCAACAACTACAGTAGGTTTGAGAGTAGAGGGTGAATAAAATGAGCAGCTTATAGCAAAAGCGAGAAACCCTTTCTTTTTGACTTGCTATTTGCATAACAGTAAACCCAGTTGGAACTCTTGGAAATAGTGACTAGTATTTAAGCCATTTTATGCCAAGAATTCTGGCAGAAGGCTGCTGGTCACAGTAGCCAGTGTGACAGCTGAAGTGAAAGCTTGTTGAGTTCATTTACTGTTCCAGCTTTCCTGGTAGGACAAAGAATAGGATAGTCACATATGTCTAAACATCTTCCTTAACCTAACAGTGAGGGTATAAGATATTTTAAAAGTGTTTCTTTCCCCCAAAATGTTCATTTTATTTTATTTGGTAATGTGTTTGTAAAGTGACTTTGAATCCTAACTAAAAATATATGAAGTAGGTTAAAAACAAAATTTGTGTTTAAAAAAAATCTAATTGAGTGTTATGTTTATTTTTGTGCATAGGTCTTGCTATTGGGAACTATAAGAAAAAATAGATTACAGGAAGGTTGGTCTTCTAAGTGGACATGGCTCAGATATCCAGCAACAATGGATTTAAGCAATGTTCATCCTCACATGTGGAACCAGTGAGAACAAAAGATGTGGACAAAGAAGAAGCGTTACTGATGGAAGCAGAGGCTTTAGCAAAGCTGCAAAAAGATAAACGAGTAACTGATGATCAGCGAAGCTTTGAGTTGTCAAGCAGCACCAGACAAAAAGCACAAGTTTATAACAAACAGGACTATGATCTCATGGTGTTTCCTGAATCAGATACCCAAAAAAGAGCAGTAGATATTGATGTCGAAAAGCTCACCCAGGCTGAACTGGAGAAACTGTTGCTAGACGACAGTTTCGAGCCAATGAAAACACCTGCGCTGCCAGTTACTCCTGTTCTGAGCCCTTCGTTTTCGGCACAGCTGTGTCTTAGACCTACTGTTCAGCGAGGACAGTGGCCAACTGGTTTGTCTGGGCCTTCCACTTACACTTTGCCTTCTATTTATCAGTCAACTTATAGTAGTAAACAGACTACATTCCAAAATGGCTTTAATCCAAGAATGACTACCTTTCCATCCACAGACCCTATATATTTAAGTGTTCCAGGACAGTCTCCATATTTTCCATATCCTTTGACACCTGCCACGCCGTTTCATCCACATGGAAGCTTACCTGTCTATCCTCCAGTAGTCAGTCCTGACATGGCAAAGCTGTTTGATAAAATAGCTAGTACGTCAGCATTTCTAAAAAATGGAAAAGCAAGGACTGATTTGGAGATAACAAATTCAAAAGCTACAATCAGCAATCTACAGGTATCTCCAAAGTCTGAAGATATCAGTAAATTCGACTGGCTAGACTTGGATCCTCTGAGTAAGCCTAGGGTGGACAATGTAGAGGTTTTAGAGTGTGAAGAAGAGAAAACTGTTCCAGGTTTGCTAGTAGAGGATCCTTGGGATGCGGTTCTTCTTGAAGAGAGAGCGCCAGCAAGTTGTCACCTTGAAAGAAAGGTGAATGGAAAATCTCCTTCTGGGGCAATGGTAACAAGAAGCCAGTCTTTAAATATTCGAACAACTCAGCTTACAAAAGTCCAGGGCCAAATATCTCAGGTACAGGTTTTTTTGTTTGTTTGTTTTTTAAACTGACTTCTTAAACTTAGCAGTAACACAGAATTGATTTTTGTGGGCATAATTTATTAGTTATAAATATTTTTATTTTGACTTATTTTCTTCTTAAGCGTGTTGTAACTCTTAGAATGTATGGTCAGGAGTAAGTGTGTTTAGGACATTTGAAAAACTGCTTGCTATTAATGTTATCTTTTCAAGGGTTATAAATTCAAAAAACCTCTAATTAAGGATCTGGCTATCACTGATAGGCACTTAATTTTTAAATAATTTTCATCTGTCTCTCCATGTCTTCTTTTTATCTCTTATTTTTTCAAGACAAACAAGGAATTATGGTTTTTTTACACCATCATATATATTATATAGAAATTCTCATTTTATTTTTTATGTTGTTTTAGTGACCCTCATTATATTGTTTTTTTTTTTTTAAAAGATTTTATTTTTATTTAGAGAGAGAGGAAGGGAAGGAAGGAAATATCAGTGTATGATTGCCTCTTATGTGCCCCCAAGTGGGGACTTGGCCTGTAATCCAGGCATGTGCCCTGACTGGGAATCGAACCAGTGACCCTTTGGTTTGTAGCCTGTGCTCAATCCACTGAGCTACGCCAGCCAGGGCTATATTGTTTTGTTGTTTTTAACTATGAATGAATGGAAGGAAGGGAGGATGACTCCAGAGACACAGGAGAAAACCATTCAAATGATTCTCTTTAATCACCTGTATGGATAAAAGTGAGGAATGTAACTCTGTAGTCTATAATCGTTGATTTCTTACAGTCTTACTATCTGGAAAATTTAGTTAAGAGTGGCTCACAGAAAAGAGGCAGCAAGGTGTAGAATTTTCCTTTCTAAATATAGTGTACCTAATTGCAGATTTGTATTATGCTTTTATAACATCTGTGGATCCTGGAAATGTTAAGCTTCATTCTCACCTTAATGTGAGTTACATTGTTCGGTGACTAGGTTCTCTTTAAGCATTGGAACCAATTAGCATTTAGGGAAAAAGTGAATTTCTCATGATTTGGATGGTTTGTAATTGTGTTGATTTGTTGACTTTAAAAAGCCATTTTGGATGTCAAGGATGAAATAAGCAGGTATTAAGAAGGCTTAGGAGAAAAGATGAGGATGTTTTTGATGACATGGTCAGAAAAATCTTAACCAGTGTTACTGTTCTGAAATGTATTTGTAGCTCACACAGAGAAATGTGTTATTTTCTTAAACTTTTCAATACTATTTACAAATTTAGTACATAATCTGTGTACACCTTTCCGATTAAAAAAGAAACCACAGTTAATTATAAATTTTAAATTGAATCACAAATATATTGTCAGATTACTTTTTCTTAATAGTCCATGTCTTGTCGTGGTTTTGTTTTTGTATAAAATAATCATTTCTGGAAGTATTTGAAGGGAGAAGTGGAAATTCTAAGTCAAGAATCATTTTTTTAAAAAGTAGGGGGTTCTACCTAGGAGTAGAAGTGTTCATGTCTGTGGGTCATGCGTATAAATTCTTTGTCTACTCCACTTGCTATACTGTACTTCATAGCCCCACGACTAATCCCCTCACCTCCTCACCCATTCCCCACATCCCCCCAATCTGGCGACCATCAAAACGCTCTCTGTGTCCATGATTTTGTCTCTGTTCTTCTTTGCTTAGTTTCCTTTTAGATTCAGTTGTGGATAGACATGTATTTATTGTATTATTAGATATATATTTACTGGATTATTATTAGATATGCATTTATTTAGGATAGAGATGTATTTATATGTATTATTTAGTAACTTAATTTTAACATTCATTGTTCCCAAAAGTAGAACAAGGAGAAAGAAAATTCAGGGAAGCAAGTATTATGGTCAAATGTCCTCAAAGGAATTTATAAAAATAACCTGTTGGTTGTCAGTGCATAATTATTGAAGGTTTCAGTTAGAGGTTTGGTGTGCGCTTGTTACAAATACTGTAAAAGGATTTTTAGATTCAAAGAAAGTTCTAAGCCCTTTTATTAACAGAAAATTTCATCATTTTCTTTGTGTACAAGAAGATAAAGTTTGGTTTCATTTAGGCCAAAAGGGGAAGGTAAACAACACTAGTCATATTTATTGGAAGTTCGTGGCACCAATAGTAGGTGGAGCTTCTAACTTTTCACATACCATTCATCTCTGTTTAAAAGCTTTTCCCTGAGGTTTATATTTTTTGTTGAGAAATAAGATTGCAGTGTCTGTTGTTTTTAATTACTATATGTACGTAAGTATTTTCTGTAAGAATTTTATGCTTTGTGGTAAAAACTCAGAAGGGTATTTTTCTGTGTACTCAGCAAGCTTACTTCCTGTTTCTTCTGGTGTCTCGTTTTTGTTAATAATAATCTAAATACTTCAGTTCAAATGTTCCGTGAACAAAACCAGGAAGAGGAATACTAGTTAAAACTGTCTTCTGGCAGTTTAAATTGAAATGAGACTTTGAGTTAATAGCTATATATCTTTAGCTATATACTTGGAGCAGATTTCAGACATTTCAGTAATGTATCAAGTTATTTTCATAGAATTGGTTTTGCAAAGTTCTGTGGGTATTTACTCTTTGTAAAAGTTAATTATATTAATCTTATAAACACTTATATCCCCCATTGACAGAATGTGTATTTTAAAGATGAAGGAAATGAACAAAATGTTTTCATTGTCTGGCTGAATGTAGTATACATACTGTTTGAGTAGGTTACTGAAGTCTTTTTCTGAAATTTTTTAAAAATTCAGGTGAGGAAGTAACCAACTTTGTTCTTAATAGTAACTGATATATATATATATATATTTAATGCTTATAGAATAGTAATTGAAAACTTGGTGTTGTATTCTGTCCAATTTCTGGGCAACAGGGCACGAAACTTGGACTTGTGTAGGCATAAAGCTTTCCCATATTCTTAGAACTGCTTTACAGAGTATGTACTGATGGGATTTTGTGAATCATTTCAAATCTTCACTGCTTTCCGTAGACCCTAATCTATCCTTTCCACCATGTAGATGTCCTCATTACCTTTTCTTATTTCTTTTTTTATGTTGAGGTCAATGTCATCCTTTGTATGCATTTGTCCACCTCAGATTTATTTGCCTTTCTTTCTGGTTTGAGGGAAGAAATATTCTTTCCCTTTTCCAGAACTTAATTTTTTTTATCTCTTTTCTTATTTCTGTCTCCCTAAAGTATTTTCTACCCTTACTCTTTAAAAGAGAATTTGTTCTTATGGCCTTTCCAGTCTCTCACTGTCCTCTATTCCCATCACATTGCAGAGAAACTTACTTCTGGTAACAGGTATACTAATTGCCAATCTCGTAACCATATTCACTAGACATCCCTTTTGTTCTGTATGAACAGCTAACTACATCCTTTTTTTGGAAATGTCTCTTCTGTTGCCCAAACATACTTCCTAGATTTTCCCCTGTGATCTTTAACTCCTTTTCCTTTGTCTAGCTTCTAAACAGGCATTCACCGAAAGTTTTGTTCTTGGTTGTCTTTAATATCTTACCTCTTCTTTCTTTTTCAGTGCTTTATTCTCGAGACTCCAAGATACAGAATTTGAAAGCTACTGGTTTAGACTCTTCCGGTAATATAACTCTGTGGCTCTTAATGGTTGAGAGGCTGTGATGGTTAATCTTTATGTCTACTTGACTGGGCCATGGGGTGCTCAGACATTTGGTCAAACGTTTTGGGAGTGTCCGTTTGTAAGGGTGTTTCTGGAGGAGATTACTGTTTGAGTCAGTAGCCTGTGTAAGGGCAGATTACCTGCTCTAACATGGGTGGGCCTTGTCAAATCACTCAAAGGCCTGAATAGAACAAAAAGGCTGACCCTACTGCCAGTGAGTGACTCCTTCTGACTGTTAGCCTTTGAACTGGAACATGGATTTTTCCTGCCTTCAGACTCAAACTGAAACATCAGCTCTTATCAGGTCTTAAGCCTGACCTATTCAGACAGGAACTACACCGTTGACCCTGTTGGTTATCCAGCATGCCAAAGACCTTGAGACTTGTCGGTCTCTGTAATCACATAATCTAATTTCTTATAACTCTGTATGTGTCCCAGCTTCATTCCCAATGGGTATAGTCCCTTATGTGTCCCTTAGCTTCCTAAAGACACTGTCTCTTAACTGATTGAAACTTGGACCCCAAGCCCCTTTGGATGGGATACTGCTCTCTCAGTGATCCTGATGGATGCTGACAGTAATCAGTAGAGATAAATTTCCCTGTAGAAAATTGCTGAAATTGGGTGGATGATCCCCCAAATCTAGGTCTTTAGCTCTGGAATAGAATTTCAGGAATACAGTATTTCTAGATGATGATCAAACATCTATGAGGATTTCTAGTTCAATATATTTACTAGAGAATGCAGTAACTTCCACAACAAACCTTTCTTATTCAGTCTATTGGATAATGGCATTAACAGTTTTTCTAACTGATTATTATTTGTCTCTTTCATTCAGTGAAACATGTTTGAGACTCTACAATGTGAGGGCTGTAAACATTAATCATTTGCAGACCTCATCCTTAAAGAACCCAGCTTAGAAGAGGGCGACAGGATGTGTGTGCACATAATTGCAATACAAAATAAAGAGCCTTAGCTTTGATGTTTAGGTTGTTTGGGTGGAGTCGAGAGGGACTGGGGCCAAGAGCTGAGTGACTGGGTGTAAAATTTAAAAAGAAAATTTGTTTAAGAAATAGTGGACAAAAACCAAAAAAATGCTAATATTAATGTATGAGACAAAAAATTGATAGCCCAGTATTTTTTACTTTGTGGACAGAATATTATGTTAACTTTCCAGATTCTGTTATTACCTTAATGTGTGATAGAAAATTAGTTACTATAACCTATTTATGTCACTGTCAATTGAAACTTAAAACCTGCTTGAAAGGAAGGACCTAGTTCATGAATGGCACTGTAAAAAAATGCAACATTTTGATTTTAAAAATCTAGAAATGTCACTAAGGAGATTCAAAATCTGTTAATAAGT